TGTAAAATCATGATAATATTAAAATTGTCTGCCTCACAGTTGTTGATAGGTATCAAATAAGAATATATGTTGGAATTATGTGTAAAGAACATATATATGTGTATATACATATATATCCTACTACATGTACCCTCTCTGAATTTTGCTGTGACCTGCTAAGCTTTTAATGTGCAATAACCAATTTTTAAAAGTCCGTATAATTCTATACAAATTCAAATGGTAATAGTAATAACAATAACAATATTTCCTGGGTCAGGTAGACACCTGTGTTGGTTTAACTCTTCTACTTGACAACATTGGACTTGGTACACAGGTGAACTGGGAGGACAGATTCAAGCTTTAGTATTGACTGACTCACCCATTCCTGTGACCACATGCAAACTACCTAATCTTTGACTGTGGTATCCCTTAATTTATAGAACACAGAGATGCTTCCTGTCTACAATCCTCAGAGGTCTACTTAGAAGATTATCCATTGAACAATAACATTGTTCCTTGTAAATATAACTTTTATATCTTTTAACACAATAAGACAGTTAAGTCAGCATAGCAGTAGCATCACCTAGGTAGATAAAGGAGGAATTGTGGGGATGGTATAGCATTGTGATTAAGAGCATGGGTTGGAGTCAGATAGACCAGGGTTAATTCCCAGTTCTGCCATTATCACCTCTAGGCAAATACTGTCTGAGCCTCAGTTTCCTCATCTGTGAAATGGGTGTAATAATATCACCATTGTTTGTTATAAAGATTAAATGTGCATGCTATTTTAGAACAGTAGTTGGTACACAGTACATGTGAAACAAATGATAGCAATTATTATTTGTTCTGCACTGAATCATAGCTCAACTTTAAAGAGAGTGCTAAATCCTTCTGTATTTGCTTTTGCAGCTTCAAAAAAAAGACATCATCTGACATCTTCAGATAAAAGGTTGAAAGACTGCAAGATAGAATTTAATGGTGACTGAAACTTAGGATTCCCCTAAACTTAGTTCTATCTTCTCAGAATTACTATTGTAAAATTCTCAGAAATTGCTCAGCCATTCAGGCCATATATGTACCTGGGAGAAGGTTCGGCTTGCAGGTTCTGGCATGACCTGGTATGTCTGCAGCGCATTTTTTTTTCCTCAACCTCTTAAAACTTTCCTACCCTCTAATCCACTCATTTCAAACCTATCAAATTATGCTTGAAACTGTGAGAACATTCTCCACAATTCTTATCCACTATCTTTGATGAGAGTATGTCCAAAGGAGTGTGCTTTGAGATGTACTTAGTGGAGTTCCTCTAAAATCTAACCCTGATAAAGCCGTGAAACGCAGACAGAGCACTCATTTCACCACCGACCATCTTAGAAGACTTGCTCCACAACTGCCCAATAGCCCCATCCTCAGGCACAAAAGCATCAGGCATAATTATAAATCTCAGTGCTGACAAGGAAGCACATGATGTTGCTTTTTTTCTTGAATGTTTCTATTTATTCCCTTATTATATTGAAGCAATTATATTTTTGGAGGAAAGCAGACAATAATGAAAAAATAACAAAGGTTCACTAGACAGTTATAATTATTACAGACTGATGAATTCCTTCCATAAAATGCTGCACTAAGATGAACTTGATTTTCACACAATAGCAAATGTTGCAATCTTTTTTAGAAAACAGTGATGATATAATTGACATGCTGTACTCTCAGTCACTGATCACCTTTGAGATAGTGCGGAAAAGTTAGGTCATGTTCTTATCTTGTTTAAATACAGAGACAGTTTTAAGAAAATTATATAACGGTAGTCTGTGCATTCTTCAAAACATTTGTAAAGACCTGTCAATGAAAGTAAAATTATACCACCACCCTTCCTCCGTCAGCATATATGTGCATTCTTTCATATTAACCTGTATTGACCTGTTTCTTTGCCTATACATTATATAAACATGTATGCCTACACATACATACACATTTTCTCTGTGTGTGTATATGCATGTGTGCACGTTTTCCATTTCTCTGTTAGAGGGCAAACTTTCCAAAGACTCTTCTTTTAGCTTCCCACACATGATAAGACAGTGTGTTACAGTAGAAAGAACATAGACTTTAAAGCCAGAAATGCCAAGGTCAGGTTCTAGATCCAACACTTACTAACCCTGGACAATCTGAGCTGCAGTTATTTCATCTTTTTAAGGAGAGATAACAATAATGGTTTCTCAAAGTATTGCCAAAATTCAATCAGATAACATTTTACAAAATGTGCAATACATAATAGGTGTTCAACAAAGTTTTCTTCCATACAGAACTTAGTACACAATGAGAACTCATTAAAAGTTGTTACATGGACCAGGACTGATCTTAGCTGAAGAAGTGAGGCACAGCATTAAACGCTTGGAACACTATCATAAAGCAACTCTGGACCTGCACCTCAGTAGAGGGACCCTTCAGTATCATTATCTACTGACTAATTTCAGGGCAAAAAGGAAGAGGTTGCTACAATAGATTAATTTTACATTGAGATTTTTCCCTGTAAACAAATAGATTCTTAATCCAAATAAGACCACCCTCCCTGTCTGACACAAACTACCCAAATTATGTCTGTATCCTCCCTTCAGTTTTCCAGACATTCTGAAATTAGCCTCTTTTCCTTAATCATCACTATGTTGCATAAATGACTACTCTTCTCCCTTGGAGGAAAAGGTAAACTGCGAGAGAACACCTCCCATTGAGGTATAATTATACCAGTTTAAATAAAACAAAAAGCTACCACTTCAAAAACTGACCTATTTCATTTCCACTTTAATTTCTTTCTATCTTACAAGTTCCTGTTTTTTATGGCTTTGTACTGTATCAGTTCTTCTCAAACTGTACAGTAAATAAGAATTACCTTGTGTAACTTTTAATACAATTCCCATGCCTCAATCTCAAATTCCCAGAGATTCACGGGAATTTCTTGGATGGGAGCTGGACTTTTCTGTTTTTAATAAGTACCCAGTGAATCTAATGGAGGGGGTCCATGGGTCACATGTTGAGAGATAATGCTTACCCTACGAAGTAAAAATTAAAGTTGTCCATTTTGTTTCATTTGAATATTACTCAGTTTACCTTCATCTATCTAAACACGTGTAGATATTAATGTCTACAAATTTGGTCTGCTGTCAGTGGTTGCTGGTTGTCAGTGGTTGCTGGTGAATACAGTTGGCAGACATTCCTATCAATAATAAATATATTTAATAAATATATTCTTCTCTTCTCAAATCTCTTCCCTATAAACTTATACCTGAAAAAGTCTTCTTTAACCTTCTGTTGTATGTGTTTTTATAAAATTAATGTGTTGATTTCTTCATATTCAAAGGATAGTATAAAATCAGTTTGGAGAAAATGATAGCATCTGAAGAATAATGTTTACCTGGTCTAACTTTCTTCTAACCTTTAAATTCTAACATAGTGGTTTTCATTTAGAACAGGTGGAGTGAGGAAGGGGCTATCAAAATTTTGGTCAAAGAGGAAGGAACATGCCATTTGATAAAACTCTCCACCTGTTTCTGATATGCCTTCCCAGTTATGAGCAAATGGCTTTAAAAAGAAATTGCCTATATATCTCAATATACCTCTTTTTTCAAAGCATTCTTGTTGGTACACTTATTCCAGCAAATGTGCTAGTAAATTTAATCCCTTTTCACTCTAGCCCATTCTCTGAACATCTCCTAGGCTGACTCAAACATCGATATGCTCCACTTTGTATACAAGTTTTAGATCAGGAAGGAGTTTTTTGTTTGTTTGTTTTTCCTTGAGAGGTATCTTCCATCTACTCTGAAGCAAGACTGAAAACATCTTTGCTTCAAATTAGAGACTATACTCAGGAAAATTCGTTCCAATACCTCCAAATTATAACTCCCCTACACAAACTCCAGACTCACTCAGATTTAGCATAGACAAAGCCTGAAATCAATTTAGAATCTTGAGTTTGATAGAAATTATATATTTAAATAAAAGCACTGTTTTCTATAGTAATATTCTTAAAGATAATCTAGGTAAAAAGGCTAGAACACAAAACCATCATGGATTATAGAGAAGTACTTGCAGAAGGCAGGAAGCCTTGAAAAGTCTGATTTAATTTGTGATGTCTGTCGCTCTTAGTTGATTCATCAGCAAATACAGAGAGTATTAAATTTCTCATGAGGACTATGTAGAACTTTCTTCCTATCAACTACAGAGCCTGAGTGTTTTTCACTATTAAGATTCCATTAGAAGCTTTATACTTTTCAAACTGTTTTCTTCTCAAAACAGAAATTAACAAAAAAGAGCATGCCAATATCTCAATCAGAGAAAATGAATTTTTAACATGAAGATAAAATTATTTTCAGAGCCCAAACTGGTACACTGAAATCTTGTTACTGTTTAGTTTCTAACTTTTAAAGAAAACAACCTCAGAATAATTATGACTTCTCTATTAGAGAAGTTGATTTTGACCAGGTACATCACTGGATTTATTTTAAAAATCCAACTATAATAATTTAATCACATTGCCTTCTTAAATTGTTTCTTGTTCTTTTAAAACATATATATATATTTTAGTTTATACTATTTACTTACAGAAAGAAGTGTAAGTTTGATCTTCATGGTTTTAGATTTTTTTCTCATGTATAATTTTGAGTATTAAATATAATATAATATATAATATAATATAATAAACTTGAGACAAATAAAACCGAAGCTAAAAACACATTCTATTTTTCTCAAAACAAAACAAACTAAAAGACAGTTGTTAAACACCATGTGCCTTTATCTTTTGTTGAGCTCTTCTGAAAGTACATAAACATTTGGGATGGGTCACAAGAGGACAGGGAACACTAGTATAGAAAGAAGAGAAACCTATTTCTTGACATAATTTCATGTTAAATATCAAAAGTATTTTTCCCCATTAAGCAAATAATAAATTGGAGATCTACACATTCCTTGGTGTGGTTCATGCCACTTTAAGCAAGTTAACTTAAGACAAAGGAAAAGAGAAGAAAACTCACCGATACATTGCTGACCAGCGAGGAATGGTCCTGTGGAGACCGAGGTCTGCCATCAAGTGTGTGTATCCAGGCTCTATCAGCAACTTTGTAGGCTAGACTGAGGTGAAGAAAGAAGTCACTGATGATCTAACTAGAACCAGTCTGACAAGTCTTGGCTAGTATGATGGGAACTGTGTGACTAGTAAGATGAAGTCAAATTTTATAGGGAGGGAGAGAACATCAATAATACAAGCACTTCCTAGGAGTGGGAACTTAAAATCTATTGTCTTCTGATTATAATGATTTCAAAATGTTAATATAAACCAGATTTTTTCAATAAAAGTCAGATGTTTAAATCTAGAAGAAAACTTTTTTTAAATCATCTTGCTAAGCTTCTTCATGTTTCCAATGAAGAAACTGAGGTTTAATTAAGTTAAATTGGTCAAAATCACATAGTTAATGCCTCTATATAGGACTAACACCTACTTTTTTTAAAACTAATCTGACATGCTTTCCACTCTACCATGCATATTATAGAAGTTTTACTTTGGTATTTACTATAAGTCAGCTGTTGAAAATACAGCGGAGATTAGAAAAGCATTAATATCTCAAAATTATGTGCCACCGTTCTACTAGAAAAGTCAAGTAGTTTGCAAATATTAACCCCCAATTAAGACAGTGTGTTTCTTTTACTATGGTGGAGACAGGCATATCAGCCAACACTGAGGCATTACTACCTTATTTCTGAGATGATAATAACCTAGTTTTTTAAAATGTGTGCCAACACATGTATATGCAAATATCTGTGTATTTGTGTCAGGTATAATCTTTAAATTGCCTCCCCTAATCCCCATAAACTAGATAAGGTGTTTCTCCTCTGTGTTCTCATGGTATCATAACACTTATCATATTGTACTAGAATTTTTTATTTTTATCTCAACCCCAGCAGACTGTGAATTCTTAACAGACAGTAACTTTATTCCTAAGACATATGGGCTCTCAAAAATATGCATGGAAAAGAGAGAGAGGATGAAGGAGGAAGGGGGTATGTATGACCAGTCCTAAAAATCACCATAAAGAAGACAAATATTGTTGAATACTACTACACAGCCATTTAGCCAATGGCTCATCTGAACAGATGTAGAAGTTGGGATCCATACTGAAGTGTGGGATTAGGCTGCAAAGAATTGGAATCATTCTCTAACAGTAACTCAAGAAACCTCTACATTGGGGCACACTGTACTTAGGACTAGAGAGAGCATCACATCTACCCTTTTTATTAGCCAAGAGATCACTTAACACTGAAGAATAACATGGATATTTACTTGAAGTTACTTAATATATAGTATCATGTTTCTGTCTACTCACTTGAAAGTACAATTTAGCCAGAAATAAAGAAACAATAATGAAGTAAAAACTTTCAGGTTATGAGATTAATCTGTTCTTGTTATATAGCCTTTAAAAAATGAAATCCTCATTAATGAAATGTTAATACTGGCTTGACATACTATATTCTACTTCATATTAATATTTTATGAAAATATTGATTATACTCTTGCTTTCAAAGGAAGACATATTCTTCCTCAGAGTGACTTTGGGCCAAGACTTGTCAGACTCATTTTAACAGAACCCCATGACTCTTTCTCTTTACCAAAATCCAGACTCCAAACTCAAATAAATCCTTCATATGGTCTAGTTACTTAAGTTTATGTATACCTGAACATGTAAATGAAAAGAAAAATGAGAGGGCTTTCATGAATTTTTTAAAAACCCTATGAATATAAGCTAGAAATTATAGAAAACCAGAGACTAAGGATACGTAAATAGAGGATGAGTGGATGTCGGTCAAAATACAACCATAACTATTTCCTTCCTATATAAAAGGCCTTCATTCACCCTACGCAAAGAGTATTAACAGTGTGTATCATCAAATTTCATGATATTACTTACCTTTTAATAGAAATTTGAAGAATAACAGGGAAAGAAGGAGGAATGAAACATTATACAAAATTATCCACTGAATGGAGCCTTTCATGCACTCAAGGTATGTCTTTAATAGTCATTCTTAGAAATTAGAACACTCCCTAACACCATACACAAAAATAAGCTCAAAATGGACTCGAGACCTAAATGTAAGACCGGACACTATAAAACTCTTAGAGGAAAACATAGGAAGAACACTCTTTGACATAAATCACAGCAAGATCTTTTTTCATCCACCTCCTAGAGTAATGGAAATAAAAACAAAAATAAACAAATGGGACCTAATGAAACTTCAAAGCTTTTGCACAGCAAAGGAAACCATAAACAAGACGAAAGACAACCCTCAGAATGGGAGAAAATATTTGCAAATGAATCAACAGACAAAAGATTAATCTCCAAAATATATAAACAGCTCATGGAGCTCAATATTAAAGAAACAAACAACCCAATCCAAAAATGGGCAGAAGACCTAAATAGACATTTCTCCAAAGAAGACATACAGATGGCCAAGAAACACATGAAAAGCTGTTCAACATCACTAATTATCAGAGACATGCAAATCAAACCTACAATGAGGTATCACCTCACACCAGTTGGAATGGGCATCATCAGAAAATCTGCAAACAACAAATGCTGGAGAGGGTGTGGAGAAAAGGGAACCCTCTTGCACTGTTGGGAATGTAAATTGATACAGCCACTATGGAGAACAGTATGGAGGTTCCTTAAAACACTAAAAATAGAATTACCATATAATCCAGCAATCCCACTACTGGGCATATATCCAGAGAAAACCATAATTCTAAAAGACACATGCACCCCAATGTTCATTGCAGCACTATTTACAATAACCAGGTCATGGAAGCAACCTAAATGCCCATTGACAGACGAATGGATAAAGAAGTTGTGGTACATATATACAATGGAATATTACTCAGCCATAAAAAGGAATGAAATTGAGTCATTTTTTGAGAAATGAATGGATCTAGAGACTGTCATACAGAGTGAAGTAAGTCAGAAAGAGAAAAACAAATATATATTAATGCATATATGTGGAATCTAGAAAAATGGTACAAATGAACCGGTTTGCAGGGCAGAGGTTGAGACACAGGTGTAGAGAACAAATGTATGGACACCAAGGGGGGAAAGCCATGGGGGGGTGGGGATGGTGGTGCTGAATTGGGCAATTGGGATTGACAAGCATACACTGATGTGTATAAAATTGATGACGAATAAGAACCTGCTGTATAAAAAAAAAGAAAACAAAATTCAAAATTTAAAAAAAAGTCATTCTTAGAGCCAATCAGTTTTAAATTAATTGATCTCTAAGAGGGAAAAATAGTATCTTAGAGCAAAAATTTGTCTTTCATTCAAATATTTATTTTCTTTATACTGTTTTTCTGAAATCATAAATTTTATTCTGCAATCCTTTGCCCTAAGCTATGGTGTGAAGAAAATGTATTCAGAGTTATCCACCTCTTTGTTTCTGAGATACGACAATCTGTCTTACCTGTGTCCTTCTGTGCAATGTGGAAGCAGAGTCAGGAGGAATATATTTGTGGATTCAAGTCTCTTAGAAACCTACAGTAGATATGTCACATTGCATAACTAGTAAAATAGCAACTAGACCACAGGCATTTTTACCAGCCAACAAACCATTCCATAGTTCTTTACATATTTAGCAATGTCATAGCAATGAAGCATCTGATGGCCACAAGGATGAGTATGCTAAAGAGGTATAGTGCCAGTGTGGCTAGTCATGGGTGGTTCAAGTCCCCTGGCTTGAACCAAGTTCTTTTATGCCTGATAATATCAATGCATGGATGCTTAAGGATAGTAATCTGATTAATTTACGGAAACCCTCAAAGTTATACCTAGATTATGTCTCTGTAATGCTAAAGCGATCCTTTCATTGGCCAGTTTATTGGGTTGTACATAACAACAGACCAATGTTAAACTAGTGAATGAGCTAGTTATCCGAGTAAACATAGCTATTTTGTCATTTGTGGATCCATTTCCTCCTATCATGTATTGTTTTGAAGGTACCCATGCACCTTAGTTTGTTTAAGCTGAGAAAACAAAGAGCATTAATATAATTAATTAACCTTTGGCCTCTATTTCAGCAAAAAGAGATCATGCAGAGCTCCTCTGAAGAACAAGCTATCACCATTCTGTCACTCTCCTTTATCTAATTTTCTTAGCAAAAATGTGATTTGTTTTTCACCAGCCTATCTGTCCCTGTCTTTGAAATCCTTTTTTTATCTCCCCTAAACCTTTTTTATTGAATGTCATCATGTAGTGGTTGTTTCTCAGTCCCATCTTATCCATTGTTTTGCAGTGGAAGGGACCATCTCAGCCAAACTAGCATTGGCTTTTAACCTGGTATTGCACTCATAGGGTTGGCAGAGTTGATTCCAGGATGCAGCCACAAGCATGAGGAAGAGGCTGTAGATAACTTCCTGCACTTCAGCTGGTTGGAGAGTACCACTCCCACTCTGAACAACATCTCGCCTTCCCTCCAAAGAGTGTACTGTACTTGAAGCAAAACAGTTACACACAAATGGCTATGCATATAATTGTTTGCCAAAGAAATTTCTGGCCCTTCCCTTTCCCTTAACTGCCTTAGGGAAGAATCTTTTCTCTAGCTTAGTTTCCACATGATGTTTCTTTTGAGAAAGGGGACTGGGACAAGAAATCTGTCATGTAGTTAAGCAGGCAAGAAATATTATTAATCCAATTTTGTTTGAGAGTTGTTTGTCCATATGATTATTTAAAAGTCAAGTTTAGTTTCAAAAAACCTTTTTTTTTCTGAAATTACTTTTGGGGTAATATTTAAAATGAGAGATTGTAACTCTGTAAAATGCATAGGGAATAAAGCATTCCAGTGTACACAGAAAAGGCAAATTTTTAATCAAATAAAGTTTTATGAAATGAAAAACAAAGTCCTCTATAAGATGTTTCGCACCTGCTATAACTATCTCCTATGCTAGGGATAGTTTTCCTGGCCATTGACATGAGGATCTGCTAAGCTTTACAATACATAGTGATACATATAGCAAAAACCAGAGATATGGTTTTTACAATTAAAAGACAATAACAATGCTAAAACAATCTTTATTGTTTAATGTATTGGGATATACAATATAGACTAGTTAATGTCGTTAAACTAGTGAGTGAATGAGGATAACATTTTTGGACCCATTTTAATTTTAAAACATTTTTTTTAATTAGTCTTTAAAAAACATTTTTAAGATTTATCAGGCTGCCAGTGTCCTTGCCCCCATGGTGAGCCACAGCCACCCTCTGCCTCTGCAGGAAACCATCCCACACTAGCAGGAGAGTGTGGATTATCTGATTCCGGAGCTCTGAAGACCCAAATACAGTATATATTTTATTTATTTCAGTAATGTGATCAGCAAGAGTAATGTGAAGTCATTAGCTGAACCTGATGAACAGGAAGTTGTGGCTGAGGTTCAGGAATTTTATGGTGATTACATTGCTGTGAATCCACATTTGTTTTCCCTCAATATTCTGGGTTGCTGCCAGGGTCGAAATTGGGATCCAGTCCAACTATCCAGAGCAACTCAAGGACTGACAGCTCTCCTTTTATCTCTGAAGAAATGTCCCATGATTCATTACCAGCTTTCATCAGAGGCAGCAAAGAGACTTGCAGAATGTTAAGCAAATGATAACTAAAGAATATGAACTGTTTGAATTCCGGCAGACTGAGGTTCCTCCCTTGCTACTTATTTTAGATCGCTGCGATGATGCCATCACCCCATTGCTAAACCAGTGGACATATCAGGCCATGGTCCATGAACTACTGGGCATAAACAACAATCGGATTGATCTTTCCAGAGTGCCAGGGATCAGTAAACACATGAGAGAGGTGGTCCTATCTGCTGAAAATGATGAATTCTACACTAACAATATGTACCTGAACTTTGCTGAGATTGGTTGCAACATAAAGAATCTCGTGGAAGACTTTCAGAAGAAGAAACCAAAAGAACAGCAAAAACTAGAATCAATAGCAGACATGAAGGCCTTTGTTGAGAATTACCCACAATTCAAGAAGATGTCTGGGACTGTATCAAAGCACATGACAGTGGTTGGAGAGCTGTCTCAGTTGGTCAGTGAGTGGAATCTGCTGGAGGTTTTGGAGGTTGAGCAAGAACCGGCCTGTCAAAATGACCATTCTAGTGCTCTCCAGAATGTAAAGAGGCTCCTGCAGAACCCCAAAGTGACAGAGTTTGATGCGTGCAGCCTGGTGATGCTTTATCCTCTACATTATGAGCGACACAGCAGCAATAGCCTACCAGGATTATGATGGACCTTAGGAATAAAGGTGTTTCTGAGAAGTATCGAAAGCTTGTGTCTACAGTTGTTGAATATGGTGGTAAACGGGTCAGAGGAAGTGACCTCTTCAGCCCCAAAGACGCTGTGGCTATTACCAAACATTTCCTCAAAGGATTGAAGGGAGTAGAAAATGTATATGCTCAGCATCAGCCTTTCTTACATGAGAACCTGGACCATCTCATCAAAGGAAAGCTTAAGGAAAACCTGTATCCTTATCTAGGCCCCAGCACACTCAGAGACAGACATCAGGATATCATTGTGTTTATAATTGGAGGAGCCACCTATGAAGAGGCTCTAACAGTTTATAACCTGAACCGCACCACTCCCGGAGTGAGGATTGTCCTGGGGGGAACCACTGTGCATAACACGAAAAGTTTCCCAGATGAAGTTCTTGCTTCTGGACTGCACAGCCGAAGCAAGGACAGCTCTCAAGTTACATCAAGGTTAGCAAGCAGAAGATGAAATGGTGATAGAGAGGTGAGAAGAATGGCACAACTTCCCCTCTTGCCTCACTGCAGGCTTTCTCCACTGACCAGAGGGGTGTTGGAGAAGAGCCTTGGGTTTTGTACTTCTTGTTATAAACCATCTCCAGGTAGCCTGCTGATTCCTGAACTGTTGGCACAGACACCAAGACTCCAGTGGTGAGTTGAGAATAAGTCTGAGCCCATTCCAACCCACTTTTCTCATGTTTTCTTTATCAAATAAATAAATGTATTCCTTGTATTTGATAGCCCACACAAAAAAAAGATTTATGAATTTCATGTTGAGGGATCACCTTTCAGTCTTCTGAACAGACTCTTCCTGAGATATGAATTAAATGTGTTTATCTACACTCTACCTCTTTACAAATAGACACCCCAAGATGTATAAATATATTGATAAAATAAGGATCAAATTCAAGAAAAACTACAAATGCAAATATACTATCTCTCTATATTGTTTATACTTGCTTTGATAGAGCTGGCAATTTGGCTTTGAACTTCCTGGCAGTAAGGATAACAACAGAAACTTAGATAATTCTCATTATAGAACAGAAAAAACTTTTTGGTCTAGCTTGATCCAAAGGTAGAACTTGAATTACCTTAACTAGGGATACTATGTTCCTTAGATGAACATTCTTAAATATCACTTCTCTCAGAAGACCTTTATAAGAACAGAAAAGGAGATTCTGAGTTCATATCCTTGACAAAGGCCTGGAGAGTTAGGATTATGCATTGCTGATTGAGGGAAAATTAATTTACTTTGTTACACCAAAGAGGCAATTGACAATATCGATACTTTATCAAAACTGAGGAGCTGGAGGAAACTTTACTTTTAAATAACATAAAACCCCATGAGATTATTATTTTAGATTAGTGCACTTTGACTCCTTATTAGCTCCTGTGTAGTTTGTATTATTATGTCTCATAGTTTGCTGGATTCTATAATGTATCTCAATAGGTGCATAAATGCACCATAGGTTAATATTTATTCCAATAAAAGCTTCTATCCGTGATGTGCCAAATCTCCTTTTCATATTCCTTAAAGAAATCTTGGTACATACGATCATTTTCTATTAATTATAGTCTAATTTTAAACCTTTGTCTAGTGTAAAACTTCAATAGTGAATCTGATATAAATACAATCACCTCCTTTTCCCCTTAACGCAAGCATAAACTATGATACTGGCTGCTTGAAGTAGAGAAGTTGGAAGGAGGTCTGGCTCCTCCTCCTCAGCGCTTATTTCTTCTAGCTTGGGGTCAGACAGAGGAGATAGGGTAGTAGAGATTTTACAGAATCAGCTATGTGTCGGTGTGGGAAAGTGTCCCTGGTCTTTCTCTGGTTCAATCCAGTTATGTCTACTGCTAATAGATTCTGTTATTGAGAATTCTTTGCTGATGATGTGCTTGGTTTTCTTTGGATGGTGTTCAGCTTTATCCGAGCCTCCCAATCACTGAGGAATCCCTCAGGGAAAAGTAACCATGTCCACTTTGGGCTTTGACACTGGTTCTGCTCCTGACTCCCTCGCCTCACTGAGCAGCTATCCTGCCCCTTTCCTTTCCTCTGTGCTGCTTCAAATATAGTCAAGGTAACCACTGACATCATCTTCTGAACCCTCCAAGAGCCACAGAACACCAGCATGGGATAGAGGGGGCTATGTATTCCCTCTCAGGAACAAACTCCAGTCCCTTACTTCCCTGTTAATGTGAGCTAATGCAGTGAGCTCCTCCTCTTCAAAAATCTGAAGACTAGAAGTGAGCAGCTGTCTTTGGTTCACAGGTGGTGCTTAAACATCAGATGGCAAATGCTTAACTTCCCCAAGAAGACTTTCACAACAGGGCTCTACCATAGCAGCTCCAGGTGTACCTCTCTTGCTTCTTGGAGACACACACAAACATTCTTTACACATGATTCTCCCAATGGGCAGCCATAATTTGGCTTCAGGAAGAGAAGAGAATAATCTCTCTTCTTCCCTTGGGAAGAGGAGAAACCTTTTCCTCTGAGGTCTGTGATCTTCAGGAGTTACTGGCTCTTACCACTCTTCTCCCTAGTTTTCTCCTTATACATATGAGGAGTTGAGTGCTGGTTTTTGTTAGGACAGCAGGTTATTTTACCTCACAGTGTGCCTACCCTTGGTGGAGGGCAGTGACTGATCCCAATTTTTGGCATCTCTTCGGAGGTTTTCATACGAAGGGTATTACTTAGCTCTTCTTTTCAATTATAAGCAACAGAAAAAGTCCTACTCAACAATATAAAATCTTGTTTACAAATATATCTAGTATGTCCCCTAATTTCTATAATATTTTATACTTCTTGAGGTATTTTTTATCAAAATGCTCCATCATTTTTGTTGATTCATTGAATATATCTATTAATCCAAAATTATTTGCCTACTCCTACCTCATTTCCAAATATAGATGTCACTTCACGTTACCACCACATGGGCCTTCTGTTTGCTCTTGAACACCTGAATTCAGATCTGCCTCATGGCCTTTATACTTGCTGTTCCCACTTTCTAGAATTTTCTTCTCATTGATTTTCCTAGCACTTACTCTCTCACTTTACTCATATCTATGCTCAAATATCATCTCCTCAAAAAAGTTCTGACCATTCCATCTGAAACAGTCTGTCCCATTAATATCCCCCCATCACTCTTCATCCCATTAGCCTGCCTTTTCTTCAAAGTACTTATTAATTGTTAAAATTATTTATACATGTGTTTGTTTCTTTTTTATTGTCAATTTCCTTCATTAGAATGAAAGCCCTTAAGCTGAAATCTTTATCTTGTTCTCTTTGACTCTATCCCTAGGACCTACAGAGCACCTGAAACATAAGCACTCAAATACTTGTTGGACAACTAGGGCACCTACCAGGCACCGGTAGGGGACCATGGACACTTAAAGGGATGGGAGGAGCCTCCAGTGACTAGCTTGTGGGATCTTGGTTCCCAGGCAGGAGGTCAGGCTTGAGCTCCTGTGGTGAGAGTCTGAGTCCAAACTCCTGGACTAACAGAGAACCTCAGATCCCAGGAAATATCAACTGGACCTCCTGGAGGTCCTCATCCAACACCAAGACCCAGCTCTATCCAACTGCCTACAAACTCCAGTGGTGGACGTCTCAGGCCAAACAACCAGTAAGACAGGAATACAGCACCACCCATTAAAAAAAAAAAAAATGAAAGGACAAAAAAATTTGTTACAGGTGAAGGAGCAAGGTAAAAACATATAAAACCAAATAAATGAAGACGAAATAGGCAAACTACCTGAAAAAGAATTCGGAGTAATGATAGTAAAGATGATCCAAAATCTCAGAAAAAGAATGGAGAAAATACAAGAAACATTTAACAAGGATCTAGAAGAACTAAAGAGCAAACAAACAGTGATGAACAACACAATTGCTGAAATTAAAAATATTCTAGAAGGAATCAATAACAGAATAACTGAGACACAAGAACAGATAAGTGACCTGGAAGATAAAATGGTGGAAATAACTGCCAGGGAGCAGAAAAAAGAAAAAAGAATGAAAAGAATTGAGGACAGTCTCAGAGACCTCTGGTACAACATTAAACACACCAACATTCGAATTATAGGGGTACCAGAGGAAGAAGAGAAAAAGAAAGGGTCTGAGAAGATATTTGAAGAGATTATAGTTGAAAACTTCCCTAACATGGGAAAGGAAATAATCAAGTCCAGGAAGCACAGAGAGTACCATACAGAATAAACCCAAAGAGAAACATGCCAAGGCACATATTAACCAAACTATCAAAAATTAAATACAAAGAAAAAATATTGAAAGCAACAAGGGAAAAGCAACAAATAACACACAAGGGAATCCCCATAAGGTTAACAGCTGATCTTTCAGCAGAAACTCTGCAAGCCAGAAGGGAGTGGCAGGGCATGAAAAGGAAAAAGCTACAACCAAGATTACTCTACCCAACAAGGATTTCATTCAGATTTGACAGAGAAATTAAAACCTTTACAGATAAGCAAAAGCTAAGAGAATTCAGCACCACCAAACCAGCTTTACAACAAATGCTAAAGGAATTTCTCTAGACAGGAAACACAAGAGAAGGAAAAGACCTACAATAACAAGCCCAAAACAATTAAGAAAATGGTAATAGGAACATATATATGAATAATTAAATGCTCCAACCAAAAGACATAGACTGGCTGAATGGATACAAAAACAACAGCGTACATATGCTGTCTACAAGAGACCCACTTCAGACCTAGGGACATATACAGACTAAAAGTGAGGAGATGGAAAAAGATATTCCATGCAAATGGAAATCAAAAGAAAGCTGGAGTAGCAATTCTCATATCACATAAAATAGACTTTAAAATAAAGACTATTAAAAGAGACAAAAAGGACACTACATAATGATCAAGGGATCAATCCAAGAAGAAGATATAACAATTATAAATATATATGCACCCAACATAAGAGCACCTCATTACATAAGGCAAATGCTAACAGCCATAAAAGGGGAAATCGACAGTAACACAATCATAGTAGGGGACTTTAACACCCCACTTTCACCAGTGGACAGATCATCCAAAATGAAAATAAATAAGGAAACACAAGCTTTAAATGATACATTAAACAAGATGGACTTAATTGATATTTATAGGACATTCCATCCAAAACCAATAGAATACACTTTCTTCTCAAGTGTTCATGGAACATTCTCCAGGATAGATCATATCTTGGGTCACAGATCAAGCCTTGGTAAATTAAGAAAATTGAAATCATATCAAGTGTCTTTTCCAACACCAATGCTATGAGACTAGATATCAATTACAGGAAAAAAAACTGTAAGAAATAAAAAAAATGGAGGGTAAACAACAGGCTACTAAATAACCAAGAGATACCTGAAGAAATCAAAGAGGAAATCAAAAAATACCTAAAAACAAATGACAACAAAAACACGATGATCCAAAACCTATGGAATGCAGCAAATGCAGTTCTAAGAGGGAAGTTTATTGCAATACAATCCTACCTCAAGAAACAAGAAAAATCTCAAATAAACAACTTAACCTTACACCTAAAGCAAGTAGAGAAAGAAGAAAAAAAAAAAACCCAAAGTTAGCAGAAGGAAAGAAATCATAAAGATCAGATCAGAAAGAAATGACAAAAGAAATGAAAGAAACAATAGCAAAGATCAATAAAACTAAAAGCTGATTCTTTG